AAAATGCTGCGGGAAGAGGTCGCCACCCATCCTGCCAATAGGGGGTCACGCAAAGGGGGAGCAACTCCCCCCCCCCCCCCCCCAGCAGGAGCCAGGGCCAGGGTGCCACCAATCTGCTTGGGCGTGGGGGTCTCTGGGACCTGAGATGGGTCAGCTGTGCCCCACCCCGCCCCCCATAGAGCAGGACGGGTCTCCCTCAGGGAGCTGGGCCTCTGGTTCTATGTGGGTTGAGTACTGATTGCTGCCCTTTGCCTCCGGGCTCCGTGGCCCCATCACCCGCTTCCAAGCCCATGGCCACTCCTCCCTGAAGTGCCGTCACAACAGACTTGGGTGCAGTGAGGACTAGAAGGGACCAGTGTTTCAGTCATTCATTCACATGGAGGATCCGGGTCCCAGGCAGTGCTAGGTGGGGTAAGCAGCCAGGACCTCACGGCCACTGGGAGATGGAGGGGATCCGGGCGGTCAGGTGTGAGCAAGGAAGACCTGACCAAAGCGAAGGGCAGCGCTGTCTTTATTCAACCGGCTCGCACACAAATGAACCACCAGGATGTGCACCGCAGAACCAGGAAGGAGCCCTCAGCAGCTCCTGTGCGAACCACCCCCCCAGCCCCAGCTCTGCAGGGGCCCCTGGGCGAGGCGGCCGGTGGCTGCACAGGGGCCCGGTGTGGACTTGGCCAGGACTGTCCACCCAGCGCCCCTCCCCACATTACACCGCAGGCTCAGGTCCCAGCAGCAGCCCGGGAGGTAGTGAACAGAGGTGCCTGGAGGAAGAGTGGGCCACTCTGGAAATGGGGGGGATCTACTCTCCGTCCACACTCCTGGGGGGCTGTCCCTGGGCCGATGGGGTTCCCAAGGAGACCACAGCCGCTCCCCAGCAGCAGCCAAGGCCAAGCGGGCACCAGATTTTGGTGCTAAGATCCGGGGGCTGGTGGAGAGAGCGGAGAGGCTCAGGCATGCTCCGTGGGGCCAGGCCCGCTAGCGTGGGAGTGGGCAGGGGCGGCGGGCGGCAGGGGGCCAGCACTGGGCTCTGGGGAGGCCTGCAGGGGGGCCGCGAGGCCATCGGCAGCGTCTGTGTCGAGGTCCAGCCTCCAGTACGCTTCGCACAGAGGCAGATCGTTAGCTTCGCGGAGACTGGAGCTTTTCCGCCACCAGAAGCCCAGGGAGACAGGAGCAGGCAGAGGGCAGGGAGGGAGAGCGACACAGGAGCAGAGTTAAGAAAACAGACCGGACCCACACCTGCCTCTCCCCTCTGGGTAGGCGCTCGTTCCAGCAGGCCTGGCTGAGTGGGAGGCCCATGGAGACCCCCTGCGTCAGGGTCCTGCGCATCCCAAAGGGAAAGGGAGGGCTGTCCAGGACCAGCCAGGCAGGTCCCGCCCGCTGATCGAGCAGGTGTCTGCCCCGTCTGAGGGTCACCTGGCTGTCCTGCCCCTGCTGCCACCCCATCCTGCCGGGGCGCGGCAGCCTCACCGGTAGTGGCAGCCAGCATCCAGAGCCCATGGCTCCTGCATTTGGCCAGAATCCTGAGGCAGAGACCCTGTCTTACCTCCGGGCCTGCCCTTGGCTGGGACAGAGCCTGGACGTTGACAGGAAGAGGCCCTGGTGTTCGTCCTGTACCCCACCTCTCCAACACTCTGTGGAGGACCGGGTGGGGTGCAGGGGAAGAGCATGGCTCACGGGGTATGGAGGCTGACGGCCCCTTCGCCGCACCTTCCTGCCCTGCCTGTGGCTGCTCCCTCCCTGTGGCTGCTCCCTCCCTGCCTGTGGCTGCTCCCTCCCTGCCTGTGGCTGCTGCCTCCCTGCCTGTGGCTGCTCCCTCCCTGCCTGTGGCTGCTCCCTCCCTGCCTATGGCTGCTCCCTCCCTGCCTGTGGCTGCTGCCTCGCTCCCACCCTCAGCGCTCAGTCTCAGAAACCATCCTGGTCACAGCAGTGTCCCAAGGACAGCAGAGGGAGAGATAGACAGACAGCAAACCATGAGTGGAAAGCGGCTGAGCAAGCGTGGAGGTGGGCAAGCGGGGCTGCGGAGGGTGGAGGGGGCTGCGCACTGGGGGTTCAGGTGGGGCGCATGCCAGGGGGTAAGCAGGGAGGGTACCAGCCCGCCCCGGGCATCACAGATGAGGGAGGAACTCGGCCTCCCGAGGCCCCAGGGATGCTGGCGGGACCAGCAGGCAGGCCCGGAACCCCTGGGGTGAACCACAGGCTGGCGGGCAGGTGTGGGAAGCCTGGTGCTCAGGCCCTGCCCAGTGACCTGGGGCAGGTCCGCTCCTCTGGGCCCTCACCCTCAAGGGGCAGGGCTGAAGCGCTGCCCTGGAGCTGCTCTGGCCAGAGGCCTGGCCCTTAGGGATGCTGGGTCCGTGAAGGGACTCTGCAAAACCAGTGTGGCTGTGGGCCTTGTCCCAGCGGGATCTGAGCTCCCCCCACGGGGGACCCACTCAGGACTTTCTCTGAAGGCCGGTGTGTTAGGAGGCAACTGCCACAAGTCTGCTGAGCCGATGGGTCTCAGGGACCAGGGGCGGCCCCAGACACTGTGGAAAAGTCTAGAACCACTCCAGCTGGGCAGTGACATAACGTCCCTTCCCTAGAGGCCACGCTGGGCAGGACCACGCGAGTGACACTGAACCCAAGGCAGGGAACCACGCCCCAGACCACAGAGCACGCTGGCTCTGGGCATCCGTGGCCCCTGCCTGGCTCCCACGGGGCAGCAAGGGGCGTATAGAACCTGCCCCGGGGGGACAGCTCTGTCTGCCAGAGCACCAGGGGCCCGGACTCCGTGTCTGCGGGACCGGCTAACGGGCGGAGGAGTAAGGCCCCCCAGCCTCGGTTCCCCCGCAGAAGTTGCACTTGGACTCGGATTTCTCAAAGGCCTCAGGTTTCAGGATTCTCAGTGGCCCCACGAGGGCTGGGTGATGGGTCGCGCCCACCACTGTATCCCTGCGTACAGCCTGGGCCTGGCAGGGAGGGGCTCTGGAGACAAGGCTGAGCCCCCCTCTACTTGGTCCCTTCCTCCTTCCCGGGACCCCTGCACCCGCACCTCCGTGGGCGCCTGGTGATGCCCACACGGAATCGCCTCCGTGGGCAAGCAGTGGCACCTGGGCATAGCCTGGGCGGCCACGAGGAACCAGCCCAGCCTCGGACAGGAAGTAAAGGGAGCAGACAGGTCCAAAGAGAGGCAGCGGCACCCGGGCAGGACCACTGGCTCTGGCCTCCCAAGCCTGAAGTTCTGTGCGTTTCACCCCAGGGCCCGGGGGACGGTGGGAAGCGTCTGTTGGTCGAACGCTCTGACCGGGAGGTGCGCTCTGAAACCGGCCCGGGCTCTGCTGCGGGACCAGCAGGGTTTGGAAAAGCAGGACCTTGGGGGCTGCCGGGGCTGCGGTCCGGTCCGGGTCCAGCCCTATTGGTACCTGGACGAGTAGTACTCCTCCTCCAGCTCGTAGAGGTCGATGGAGACCTCGTCCCGCAGGGCGGTGAGCTTGCGGTCGCACTCCTCCTGCAGCGCCCGGAGCTGCTGGTTGCGCTGGTCGATGGCCTCGTTCACCGACGGGAAGTCGTTCAGGATCAGGAACTGCTTGAGGTCGGACACCAGCTTCATCAGGGACTCACCGGCTCGGACCTGTGGTGACAGCCAGGGCAGGCAGGTGAGGGCGGGACAGCACCGTCTCCCTGGGCGGATGGCGGCAAGCCATGGCCCCAGTTTCCTCATCCGCAAAGCGGGGCCACGGCACTGACCTTCACAGGGTCACTATGAGAGGCGAGAGGACCGGGAGGTAAGCTACGGGAGGACAGGGTCCCCAGCGCCCTCAGCTCCCAGCCCCGACCCCGCGTGGCCCCTGGCTCTGAGCTGGTGGTGTGATCGCCAATCACACAGGCTGTGCAAGCACATGCTGCCTCTCAAAACCCCAGCCTACAGGTGGAACTGCTACCCCTTAGCCGCCTGCCCTGCCCCTCCTCCGGGCAGCTCCCCTGCCAGCTGGGCGATCCTGTGGGAACTTGTCCTGTTTCCATCCGTGGGCACACACCCACGGAAATGATTCACGTGCTTGTTCTGTGACGTCGGAAGGGACCAAACGCAGATCCCGTTTCACTCAGAAACTCGCCTCTGCTCTCGTGACAAATCTCAGGGAACTTTCTCGTCAAAAAGGAAGAGCAGTCCCTTTCCGAGCGCCGCACAGCACGCTGGGACCAGCGAGGCCGGGTCCCTGCCCGCCCCTCCCACGCCGCCACGGACAGCCCTCCTCCCAGGAGACCCCACCGGGACCCCCAGGGCCGGAGCCCGGACCGGGCCTTGCAGCGGGTGACTTACGATGTTGGAGGCTCGCACGTGCATCTCGTAATTGTCCTGCTCGCCTTGGGTGGCCCTGGACACCTGGGTCTCATCCTCAATCTAGGACAGAGAGGGAACCCAGTTAGCCGGCGCCAGCGGCCCACACACTCCGCATCCTGCCCGCCTGCTTTCCACGGCGGCACTGCCACCCAGACCCCGCGACAGTCGGCTTCCCTCTTGTTCCGAGGACGGGCACCTGCGTCTGGATGGGTGGGCGCCCGCGCTGACGCTGCGCCAGGTGCGGGGAGGGCTGGCCAGGCCTCGTGGGGTCTGGGGCTGCAGCCCTGCTCAGTGCGGACAGTGTCGCCAGCTCAGGCGCTCAGTCAACGGAACAGGTCAGTCAAGAGAATGATTTTTTAAAAATACCTTTTTATTGATTTCAGAGAGAGAGGAAGGGAGAGGGAGAGAGAAAAACATCCACCGGTGGCCCCTCACACACATCCTGATGGGGGACCAAACCCCACCACCCGGGCATGCGCCCTGACCACACAGGACGATGCTCCCATGGAGTCACCCTGGCCAGGGCAACAAGGACCTTTAAAAAAAAAAAGTGTGTATATATATATATATATATATATATATATATATATATTTTATTATTTTATTTTATTTTTTTAATATATTTTATTGATTTTTTACAGAGAGGAAGAGAGAGGGATAGAGAGTCAGAAACATCGATGAAAGAGAAACATCGATCAGCTGCCTCCTGCACACTCCCCACTGGGGATGTGCCCGCAACCAAGGTACATGCCCTTGACCGGAATTGAACCCGGGACCCTTCAATCCGCAGGCCGACGCTCTAGCCACTGAGCCAAGCTGGCCAGGGCAACAAGGACCTTTTTAAAGTGACCACTTACTGACCACTTCCTGGGCGCCAGGCACCGTGGTAAGCCCTTGACCATCATCATCTTACAAAATTCTCAGCCCTGGCTGGTCTGGCTCAGTGGATAGAGCATCGGCCCTCCGACCGAAGAGTCCTGGGTTCCATTCCAGTCAATCCGGAGGCAACCAATCAACGTGTCTCTCACATTGATGTTTCTCTCTCTCTCTCCCTTCCACTCTCTCTAAAAACCAATGGGAAAATACCCTCAGGTGAGAAAAAAATAAGTAAAATAAAATAATGTAAATTTGAAAAATTCCTCACAGAAGCCTGGACAGCCTTCCCGAGATTGCAGGTGGGCAAGCCTGAGGCCGGACAGGGCAGGGAGCCTGCCCGCTTGGCCTGCCTTGCTGCCAGTCCAGGGCATTAGCTGCCCCATCCATCCATCCGGACAGGGCTTCCCAGGGGCGTTGCCAGGGTACGGGCTGGCGTCAGGGGTGGGAGCCAAACCTCCTGGGCTCCAACCCTGGCTCTGCTGGTTACGAGCAGAAGGGTCTTGGGCAAGTTTTCCAGCCAATCCAGCTGACTGAGCTGCCGGCTCACCCCCCTCGGGGGCTTCCCCAGCTCCTCTTCCTGACGCCACTCACTCGACATGGCTACCATGTTGGGGTCCCGGCCAGGCCCCGAGGCAACCACTTTACACAGATCAACTAACACATCCAGGGCCCTACGGCTGGGACGCCAAAGCACCGAGAAGCCAAGTCCCTGTCCAAGCCTCCGCTGGGCATGCCGCTGGCGCTGAGCTGGCATTTGAATAGTCCCTACAGCTGCCTCACCGGACTGGTAATTAGCTGGTTTGTCTGCTGACCTGCCTGTCATCGTCCACCCCCTGGTGCCCCCCAAATGTTCTCGGCATGGGGGCAAGAGCCCCTGCAGCTGTACCCCCCATGCCCCCACCCCCCCACCCCTGGCCAGGGTGCTCCGGGACACGCGGGGCCAGAAGAGGGCAGTCCTGGGCTCCCTGTCCCCACTCACCTTGGCGGTCTTGATGATCTCGGTGAAGTTGTCCATCATGGACTTGATGTCGTCCTTGAGCCGCTTGTTGTAGGACTGCAGCAGCGTCTCCTTGCTCTGCGGCAGGGCTCTCTGCTGGGCCATGGCGGGGCCTCCGTCCGTGCGGGCAGCAGAGGCCGCGGGCCACGAGGCAGCACCTGGGGCCCGGAGTCTGATGTAGGCAGAGCCATCCCCAGCCGCCCACCCTCCACGGCCCAGAGAACGTGCAGGTCTCGGGGATTCCCTTCCTGCCAAACCAACTCGTGCACCACTCGCACACCGTGCACTGCGGGTCTCACGCCGCTCCCCGGGCGAGCTCACCCTAGGACCCTTGGCAAGCCCGCAACACCCTGTCCGGTCCAGCCCAGACTCCGAGGCCGGGCCCCCGCAGCGCCGACAGCCTCCCGGCTCCGGGGTCTCGTCAGGACCACCCTCCCTCCCTGCGCCCCAGCGCTCGGCCCGGGGCCTGGCGCACGGCCAAAGGACCCAACTCGCGGTCTCTGCGCCATTCTGGGGCACGGCACACGGCGACCCCGCCGCGCCACACCGATGCCCGCACCTTGTCCGCACACCTTGGGCCCGGCGGACACCTGGCCAGGATGGGCCTGGGGACCAGCAAGCACCCCCAGGAAGTGCCGGCTCCCGGGCGCCGCTCAGCACCCGGAGCGTCCCGCCGCCATCTCCACGCCCCTTCCGCTCGCACAGACCCACCCCCTGCTCTAGGCACCGCCCCCTACCGAAGGGCCCGCGAAAGGAGTGCTGTCGCTTTAAATTCGAAATCCCGCGCAGGCTCCAGTTCTCGCGATATCTGAGGTCGAATACATATTTCCCACAATTCCCTTTCCTTTCTCTCTCCTCCTGTCGCCCAAGATGGTGAGTGTTTCCTTGATACGATATGCCGGCTCCGGGCCTGGCCTCTATCCGCTGCCATCCTCCTCGGGATTCGGCCGTGCGGGGGTCCCTCCACGGCCCGGAGCGAGGACAGCCCCGCGGGGCCTGGTCCAGAGGGCATTGGGCCGGGGTAGACTCCCCGGCGTCCGGGCCGGGGGAGGAGGACCCGGCAAGCGCCGCGCCGCAATGCGGGGCTGCGAGCTGCTGCGACCCGCAGCCCGCCCCGGGGCGGGGCCTTCGGCGTGGGGTTCTGAGTCCGCCCTTGCTGTTTCTGGGGTCGGACTTCTAAGGGACCCCTGTCCCCGCGTTGGGGTGCAGCGCTGTGGACGGGGCCATCCCGGCGGTCCGCGTCCTAAAGCTCCGCCCTCAGCCTTTGGGCAGCGCCGAGCAGCAGCGTGGCCGCCCGGCTCGTGCAGATGATGTGAAGGAATATTTGCTATCTGAGCAATGGTGAGGACGCCCGAACCACCAAGATCGCTGATGCACGAGCCGGGCTCGCTGCCGCGCCGCGTGGGCCTGAGCCTGGGGCCCGGCCCCGCCCCGGGGGGTTCAACGAGCCGAGCCCGGCGCCTCCGGAGGAGCTGGGGGTGGGGTGGGGGGGGAGACGGAGGCTGACGGGGTTTCCTCTGCCCAGCCGAAGGGGAAGAAGGCCAAGGGGAAGAAGGTGGCTCCGGCCCCTGCCGTCGTGAAGAAGCAGGAGGCCAAGAAGGTGGTCAACCCCCTGTTCGAGAAGCGGCCCAAGAACTTTGGCATCGGTGAGTGTGGAGGGGGCGAGGCGGCAGGGCCGCCCCGGAGAGCGGCGTTTGTTGACGGGCCAGGTCCTTACCAACGGGATGGGGATGCCCCGTTTGCCGCTTTGTGGCTATAAACTGGGCCCCGGTCCTAAGCTGCCCCCTTGGGGGGGCGGCGACGGCCGCGTGCAGATGATGTGAGGACGTTTGCTCTGCGAGACGTGATGACGCTGAACCACCAAGATCGCTGATGCACCTGCCCCCGCGGCCTTTCCCTCGCAGGACAGGACATCCAGCCCAAAAGGGACCTCACCCGCTTTGTCAAGTGGCCCCGCTACATCCGGCTGCAGCGGCAAAGGGCTATTCTCTACAAGCGGCTGAAAGTGCCGCCCGCCATCAACCAGTTCACCCAGGCCCTGGACCGCCAGACAGGTAGGTGCTGTGGCTCGAAGCCAGCGCTGGGAGGGATTCGGGGTTCCCCGTTTAGTTTCCAGACCCTGAAGGTGGCATAACTGAGGCTTCTTGAAGTGCAACTCACACCTAACGCTTCTTAACTCGAAGTGAGAAAGATTAGCACTTAGCCTAGAGCAACGGTTCTCAACCTGTGGGTTGCAACCCCTTTGGGGGTCAAACGACCCTTTCACAGGGGTCGCCTAAGACCATCGGAAAACACGTATGTAATTACATATTGTTTTTGTGATTAATCACTGTGCTTTAATTACGTTCAGTTTGTAACAATGAAAATACATCCTGCATATCAGATATTTACATGACGATTCATCACAGTAGCAAAATTACAGTTATGAAGTAGCAACGAGAATAATTTTATGGTTGGGGGTCACCACAACATGAGGAGCTGTATTGAAGGGTCGCGGCGTTAGGAAGGTTGAGAACCGCTGGTCTGGAGCCTAAGCTGGTGGTTTCTCCCCAGCCACTCAGCTGCTGAAGCTGGCCCACAAGTACAGGCCCGAGACCAAGCAAGAGAAGAAGCAGAGGTTGCTGGCTCGGGCTGAGAAAAAAGCTGCCGGCAAAGGGGATGTTCCCACCAAGAGGCCTCCTGTCCTCCGAGCAGGTGAGTGGGTTTCTCCTTAAAGGGGGGATGGGGCGGGGCAGGCTGTCAGTAGTTAGGCGTGGGCTTCTCCATCTGCAATCGCTGAAGAGTACATCGAGCCTCTTCACCCCGAGGCATAGCTGGGCCCTGGATGTAGAGCTGCTTTCGTGAACAGCACCCATGCACCCCACTCATGCAGACTGGCTGTGTGTTCTAGGGGTGAACACGGTCACCACCCTGGTGGAGAACAAGAAGGCCCAGCTGGTGGTGATAGCGCACGACGTGGACCCCATCGAGGTACGTGGGCCTCGTGTGAGCGCTGGCTGCTGAACTGAGACTGGGTCTTTATGTCGGTACCTACAGATAAAGCTTAATTCTGAGTCTGACACATTAAGTGGGCTGACAGCTTTTCATTTGAGGACAGTACTGATGAGGGATCCAGCTTATCTTGTGGCTCTTGCAATGATGTGAATTTCTTACTGAATTAATCCTTGAAGTGCAAATACATGAGCTTTTTAACCCTGAGCAATTGCTGCCCAGCTAACTTTTAAATCATCGCTTCTGGTCAGACTACACTCTGAGCTAACGCTGTCTTCCAGCTGGTGGTCTTCCTGCCCGCCCTGTGCCGGAAGATGGGGGTCCCCTACTGCATCATCAAGGGGAAGGCCAGGCTGGGGCGCCTCGTCCACAGGAAGACCTGCACCACTGTCGCCTTCACACAGGTTAACTCGTAAGTATGCAGCTTGGTCCTGAACCCCAAGTGTGCACAGGGGACAGCCTGCTCCCACCCTCCACTCTGCCCCCCCCCCCCCCCCAGTTCACTTCATCTCTTTGGATTTTATCTTAAAAGAGCAAATGTTCTAGCTTAAAGGAATAAATATACATTTATCTGAACCTTTGCCGATGATGGTGACGAATTTCTTCACCTGAATAAACCATGTGGTCATGTTGTGTCTGAGGCAAAAGGCTTGTTGTGTCTGGAGCCAACAAGGCCCCATTTCCGCTCTCTGGAAGGGCAAAGGGCCCGTAGTCTGACCCACATCCCCGCCTCCTTAGGGAAGACAAGGGAGCTCTGGCGAAGCTGGTGGAGGCCATCCGGACCAACTACAACGACAGATACGACGAGGTAAGAAGCGCATTTTGTACAGCACGGTCTCGGTGAGTCAGGCCTCAGCCAGAGGACTGACTTCTGCTCTTGTCCTTGCAGATCCGCCGCCACTGGGGAGGCAACGTCCTGGGTCCAAAGTCGGTGGCTCGCATTGCCAAGCTGGAGAAGGCCAAGGCGAAGGAGCTGGCCACTAAGCTGGGCTAAGTGTGCACTGTTGCGTTTTCTGTACATAAAAGTAATAAAAATTCTCCTCGACCAGCGTCTTGGTCACTTGGGGTTGAAGGTGATTTATTGCCGGCAAGAAGTCTGGGGTGGTAGCAAGTCCATTTTCAGACCAGGGGCCTTGAATTACCTACTGTGCAAGTTGCTTTGTGTGTGGGTCCATTCAGAAAAAGCTGTCTGAACCTGCTGCTTGGCCGTAGTGTACTCGAACACTGAACTGAGCCAAGCCTGGGTTTTCTGATCGACCAGGTAACTAGATCACTCAGGTAGCGGCGATTTATTTATACCAATAGCACATGGCCCAGTTAAACCCAATCTGTTGGAATATTTATTCAGTGACTCCCAGCACAGGCTACATCAGTCATCTAGTCACGTGCCAGGAATCCGCCGTAGGAACTTCTTAACCCACAGATACAACGTGGCCGCACAGAGTCCATACCTGGGTTGTAAGAAAGTGTCAGTGAACAGTTGTGAAGGGGAGGGGCCAGAGCGCAGAGGTGGGGACTCACCAGGTGATGATGTACTGCATGTGCTCGTTCCTCAGGGTCACTCTGGTCTGCCCGCCAATGGGTCCTCCAGGGACTGTGCTCTCTGTAGAGACACTGAGTGTTGGCGCTGGTCTCCCTCCAGCCACTTGGCCAGCTGCTTCCTTGGGGCCTTGCTAACCATCTCTCTCCCAGAGCCTTTGAACTTGGCCAGTTTCAAGTCACCTCAACAGGACCTTCGGCCTGTACCTGGTGTACAGCCGCCCCTCTCCCCCCAGCACACTAGAGCGCAAACAACAGGAACTGACTACCGCTTCTTGGCCGGGCGGTCACCACGTACTGAAGTCCGCATCGATGAAGATGGGCTCTGTGCCTGTGAGCGTGGCCATGGCCTCCAGGTCCCGGTAGTACCAGTGGTTCCTTTCTGGGTTGTTCCCTGGGACAAAAGGTTTCCTGGTCTCTGTCAGCCTTACCATCCCAACCAGGTCCACTTCTCCCTCAACCTAAAAAACAGAGAGGGTGTCCCTCAGGGCACATCAGAGAAGGGCTCCCAGAGCCCTGCTCACCTGGGGGAACAGGTGTCTCCCGCCCCCCCGCCCCTTACCTGGCCTTTCTTCCTAGTGTCAGGATTCAGTTTCTTCCTGGGGACAAACCCTCTGTTCACCAGGATGCTCATCCTAGATGGGGAAAGCGCGCGGTTTCAGGCGGGAAAGGGTTTGGAGAGATGATCGCTGTTGGCTCCTGCGCGTTCAGGAACTGGCACTGCCAGGGCGGGTCTAAAGCAGGACAGTGGAGACAGGCTGTGTGCCCCTGGGGAGGTCTTCCTGTGCCCGTGTCCTGACTGGTAAGAGCCACCAACCCCTGGAAGGGGAGCCAGGGTTGTCCCTCACCCCGCCCCCCGCCATCTTTCTTGTGCCACACCTGCAACATGCAACCAGTGATGCCCACCAGGGCCTGGGTTCAGGCTCCCTCCCCTCTGAAGGACTGGGTGCAGCAGCCTGTGCCAGCCTCCAATCTCCCCTTCTAACCAGGGGAGGCTAGCGGGGCAGCTGCTAGAGACCAATGGGCCCATCCCTGACCTAACCAGGAGGCTGTGGTGACGGCCCCCAGGGTTCCATTTGTCCGTTGACACTGGGGAGGCTGCTCTATTGCACTGCCCCTTCTGCGCTGTTTCCTCCCTTCACTCCAAGTCCCGCCCAAACAGTACCTTGGGACACCTTCCCTGAGCCGGCTCCCTCCAGAGTTCCCGTCACTATCCCTTCATGCTGCGCCATCATTTAATGAAGTGGCCACTGGACAGACAGTTCTCGCTTCCCTTTCAGAGCGGACAGGAGTTGTGCAGTGATAAGCTAAATCAGGGGTCCTCAAACTTTTTAAACGGGGCCAGTTCACTGTCCCTCAGACCGTTGGAGGGCCGGACTATAGTTTAAAAAAAACTATGAACAAATTCCTATGCACACTGCACATATCTTATTTTGAAGTAAAAAAACAAAACGGGAACAAATACAATATTTGTATTTGCATGTGGCCCGCGGGCCGTAGTTTGAGGACCCCTGAGCTCAATGAATCAGCTTCATGTCCAGGCTACAAATTCAAACTCTTGATGGAATCAAACCTATTCCCCAGGGTTGGGGGTTGAGAAGGGAAGATGAAGAGCTGCCCTGTCCACATCTGCCAGGCTCCCTGCGTGTCACTCACCCCAGGTCGGTGCAGTGGAAAGGGGTGATGACATGGGCACCGCTCTGGGCCGAGGAGGAGAGCCGGCCCGCCTCCCGGGCCTCCCGCGCCGGGTCCACCATGGTCCGGGGCATCATGTACAGCTCCTTGGAGTGGTCAAAGTGCCCCCTGACCTTCACCGGCCTGTACTCCAGGTTTCTCAGCTCCATGGGGCTGCACGGGAGGGGCAAGTGCAGCTGAAGCCAAACAGTTTGGGAGGAAGAGAAACCCTCAGGGCTGCAAACTACAAAGCCCACCGCAGCCCGAGGTGACGGGGTGATGAGTGGGACGGCTGGGTGATGGGAGTGCCCGCTACAGGGAAGCTGACCCCCTCGGGTGTCGAGTGGGAACGGCTCTGCTGTCCCACAGTCCACGTTTTCATGAGAAGCCAGAGGGGGACTCCTCATAGACTTGATCAGTGTGGCTAAAACCCCCTGCGAGCACCGGTTTGCGCCCCTAAATGGAGGCTTTGTTGAATAGAGCCGTTCCTCTAGGGCAGTAGCATCATTTGGGGCACTTTCAAAATACCAGGAAGACGTGACAATGCCTGCTCTCGCCCTCCAGCTAAGCGTTACTGCTTTAGGGGGCCATGAGCACAGGTTTTTCTATAATTCAGGCAGCTTCCCAAGGGCGACCACCAGGCAAGAAGCCCAGCAGGACCACCCATCCCAAGGGCGCCCATCTGAGGGCCAGGACCCCAAGCAGAAGCTGCTCCACTGCTGAGCAGTGCGAGGAGCCCCAGGCTGCAGCCCCGCACTCACTCTGCGGGCAGAGGGACAGGCTCAGCCATAATTCTAGACTCCAGCTCCGAGATCAGCTTCAGCTTCCACTTGCGACGCTGGACCTACGGAAACAGCATAAGCCCAAGCAGACGGCAGCGGGCCAAGGGCTCGGAGCCACAAGAGCTAGAGGCCAGTCCTACCTGCCACGTCCCCAGGCCAAAGGCAGTCACCGGAATGAGAAGCAGGAACCACTGGAGAAAGGAGTCGTCCTCTGCTTTTGTGGCAGGCGCTTCTGCTGCGGAGCTGCCGCACCTGCTGGGCCTCCAGGCCAGACCTAAGGAGTTTCACACTGGCCTGGGGTCGCAAGCCCCGGAGGAGCACATGGGGGTACAGGTGGGGGTACAGGGGGGACGGGCCCACAACCTGCAGCCAGGAGCCAGCGCAGCACCTGCGTCCAGCCCAGCTCCCAGCCCAGGGCCCTGCACGTGGCACCCAGTGGATGTGTACTGACTGAACCAGACCCAGGGCTCAGTCGTGGCTCTGCCACCCACCATGACCCGGGTAATTCGTGGCACCACCTCACGCCTCTCCCGTGGGAGGACGCTGTGATGTATATGCCACTGTGGTCTGGAGACAGAAATGTGACAGACTCGGGACAGTGCTTTACAGAGCTCTCCTAACTGCTTTGCCTTTTTTTTATTTTTCCAGTTGAAAAACAAAATTTATTTACAAGGTTAAAGAGGTAGAAGTGAGCCAGCTGGGTTGCCTAGGCTCAGGCGTGCTCCCAGGAGGGAGAGATTAAAAAAAAAATTACTTGCTGATTTAAGGGAGTAAGAGGGAGAACCATCAATCCGTTGTTTCACTTATGCACGCATTCGCTGGCTGACTTCTGTATGTACCGACCAGGGATCGAACCCTCAGTCTTGGCGTATCCAGAGGATGCCCTAACCGCCCGAGCTGCGCGCAGGGCCAGCTCTGCGTTCTCATTGCTCATAAATGCAGAGACGGAACAATATACACAGAAGGTGCATTTAAGCTCTCAGAGGGGCCTCTGGGGGGTAGAAAGGCGGGCCTGGGCGGGAGCGTGGGAAGCACCCTCCTGGGTGCACAGCCCTGCGCGCGCGGTCACCCCGCCTGCCGTCCAGGGGCAGCACGCAGACTGCTGAGCAGACGAGCTGCCCTTCAGGGTCCCAGACACCTGGTTGCAGACTCGGGCTGGACTTCCCTCCTGAGGCCGAGACGCGGTTAGTTGACGTCTCCGGCCGCGCGTGTAACACGGCCGCCCCGCACGCAGCCAGGGAGGCTCCGGCAGGAGGCACGGAGTCTGACACAGGCGATCGGAGCTCATCTCCGCGCCCCCAGAGCCCCGCCCCGAGCAGCGCGGGGGGCGCTTCCCAGGGCGCACCTGGGCGAGTCCTCACCTGCGCGCGAGGAGACCTCGGGGACGCTCCTCCAGACTGCGAGGGCCGGGGCCTGCGGAGACGCGAGAGGCTGGCTGAGCTCACCGGCCCGGGGCGCCCCCCCACGCCTCCCCGGCCGCCCGCC